GGGTGGAAAACGAAGGCAAAAACAGGGTGGGTCCAACCATGAGGTAACCCCCAAGACGCCTGGGCCGGTGGCCTCGGCGGATTAGGATATTGGTTGTTTTGTGGATGAGGTTATGTATTGATTAGGCGCTTTGGTCTTTGGGTTGTGTTCTGGATAATTGTATGTGTTTGGGAGGTGTTTTGTGTATTGGGTTGTATTATGGATTGTTGTATTTGTTTTGGGAGGTGCTTTGTGCTATGTCGTTTTGAAGTGTTCGATTGCTGAGCGGGTTGCGAAATGGGGTGAAAGTGTAGCGGGGCATTAGATGTGAGGTGTGGGGTCAGCCATTGCTTGCTATAAGGCCGCTTGCAGCGAGTCTTCGCTCTCCCTTTTTGATTCTGGTCCTTTGTCGTACTTTCAGTGACAGTGACAAGCATGAACGAGGTAGCCTTCGCCATGAGGGTACCGCTACAACGTGCCAGCACGTTGGACAATAGTCACAGTCACAGCACCTTTGAGCAGCAAGGGTTCGTGTCTAGAGTTTAGGTCTCAAGGGGGGGGGTCAATGGAAGCTGGCGATAGTCGGACAAGTGTAGCTGTCGTTCAGGGTGGGTGCATTTCAGTTCGAGTCGAGATCCGTAAGGCGGCTCCTGAGCTTTGTCCGACTGGAGGGGTTTTTGAGCCGCTCAGAGGGGCAGTCGAGCAACGGGTCGACCTAGGCTCGTCGGCGCTTTCTCCTTGGCGCTTATTCTGGGTTCTCTAAGAACTTTCATGGGGGAAAACGAGTTTCGGGTCGTTGGGAGGTGGGCGAGCTCCTGGAGTCCAGCCGTTGCGCGGCCGAGATTGGAGAGAATCCGCCGCTTTCAAAGGACCGTGCTCGAATACCGGCTTTTGGTCCCGTTCCTGTTGCCAACTTTCCCAACACTTCAGATCTCCGTCGAGGGAGCATCATGTTTCTTTTCTTTCGCCGTGCTGCGCATGTGGGGTTTCCGATCTTGGTAGGGCTTTCAAGGCAAAAGCGAAGTATGTTGATCACTCAGCAATAGCATATGTTGTGCGCTGGTATCGGCAGGAACAGTACCAAGACACTGGATTACGAGATGCGCTGGAAGAGGTGGAGGTTCCAGGTGAAGGTTTAGTGTCTTGGGTGTTGAGGCGAATTTCGCACGCTGCGCCACTTGAACATCCGATTCCTCACGGGAAAGCCCTTGTCTTAGCCGGCGACGGCGGGTTTAGGAGTTTCGGCTTGTGGCTGTAGATTCAGTCTATTCGGAGACGCGTGCCTATTTTGTTTGGAGGTTATTTTGGGCCTTCGGGATCAGCGTCAGTCTCTCGCTTGAGTGGTGTTTCGGGGACGCTTTCTGGGTCTCAGCTATGAAACTGGAGGAGCTTCTCAGGAAGTGGTTTTCGTTTGCTCTTCGGAATGGTCATCCATGGATGCGTGAATTTTGGCCCGGTGTCAGGGTTACTTGCCTGCAGTTACGGCCAAGGAAGACGATGGACAAGCACGCGAAGAATCGACTGGCGTGCTTGCCTCGGTCGGCATCAAACACGTCTTCCTAGAATCAATTTCACATTATTAACGTATGTGGTTCCAGAGGGTCGATACTGGGTCCCCGGTTGACACTTGAAGTGTTGTCTCAGGGGTTTTCTACCTTGTTCCCTAAAGTCGACTTCCGAGTCTGCCGGGTGCGAGCATGCGAGTCGAAAGTCTGGGGCTGGACACTTGTTGATATGCCATGGGAGCATGTAGAAGACCGTGCGAAACTGATAGCTTCAAGAAGAGTCCCTTACCCTGGGGCTCGCTCCAAGATCGAATGCTGAAGGGCTCTGACCAAGGAAAAGCCTTCGCAAAAGGGCTAAAGCTGTAAATGAGTTTAGAGCGTTTGCCTCACTTCGGGGACTTGGCTTCGCCTAGCAGCCGACAGCGCGAAGCCCGCAGGTCCTGAGACCCAAAGCCCACATTTTTGGCAAGCAGTCGACAATGGAGGTGATGCTTAGTTGTTGCTCTGGTCTTGGATGTTGCTCCTTTGCTCTCCCTATCTCTCTCTACGTCTGCCATGTTTTATTGCAGATGCTGTGTGAGAGATTATGACGTGCTCATCGCCAGCCAGCAGTACGTACTACTAACAGACCTGCTGCTCGGGGAGCCAACCTGAAGACTTGGGTTCTTGCATCCATTGCCGGCCATGAATGCCTTCTTCGTCGCGGCTGCGCGGAGCCTGCCAGATCTACGGCTGGCAGACGAAGGCTGCGACAGCTTGGGAAGTGTGGGAAGTGTGTGCTCTGAGGCTCGGCGAGGGTTTCATCAATGCAGCTGAAGCAACAAGCCCGGCCGCAAACGCACTGTAGCCTTCACTGGTACCCTGGTGGACTCCGCACCGGATTCAACCCGAAGTCTCTGCCCTGAATCTTTTTCAGCCGGCATGCTAAAGCCAAACCCCGAAACCCTAAGCCCCCAACCCCAGACAAGCCTTCCTGTTCAGGAGGCTAGATTGCGGCAGCTTCAGGATGGCGCGGACGACTTTCCGAAGCTTGCAAGAATAGTTGCGCCTTTCGCCCAGCGATAGCGCTCTTCGGCCTTTTTCTTCGCATGGCCCTGCGCGCGTGTGTACATAGAGTTGGGTGGCTGTTGGGTGTCTACTCCTTGCTAGAAGCAACTGGCAAAATTCCGAGAAACCCTCGGAGAGCCTTATAGGTAGGCCTTCCACCCGGAGCCATGGCTCCCTTCCAGGCAGCTCCTGGCGCCGCATCTCGGCAGCTGGCAAGCAGAGCCTCGCTTGGCCACCTATTTCCTGAGCCGGCTCCTACAGCTGCGACAAAGGGGCTTCTCTTAGAAGGACGGGGCCGGGAGTTGGGGTGAGGGAGTGATTATAAGAGCCCTTAGCTGGAAACCTTGCAGCTTTAACATCAGGGCCGGGGCCCCGTGTGTAAACCCCACATGAACCCCCAAAGCCTTTAACACACCTAAAGCCCCTTAAACCATGACCCAAAAATACCACGCCCTAAAACCCCATGGCCTGGTGTTGCCGGGTTGCGAGTGGCAAGCCAAACTCAGGCTACGCTCTGATGCCGCCGGTCGTTTGATCAGCGCCATGCGTCTTGGGAAGGCGGACGCGGCAAATTGTGTTTGCGTCCTAATTAGCCTTAAGACTTAAGAGCAGAAAAACAAGGAAACCCCTTAAACTCCCAAGCCTCCAGTCCCTGCGCCTTGTGAACACCGTGCCACTTTTCTGGCGACGAGGTAGAGATCAACCTTTTCCACTACAACGCCCTGCTTTCATGCATGGAGAAGGACGAAACGATCTCGGGTGCAGGGTTATGTTTCGAGCCCGCGTCATTGCTGGAGTGATTTCAGCATTCAAAATGGGACAGCTCTCTTTGCATATGCCGTAGCTCGCATCAAGAACTCCAGGACCTCAAAGCTTTCTGTTCATCTCTGCTTGAGATGCAGGTCTCACTGCCACCGCCTGCCATGTACGAATGTGTTTGCCGAAAGCCTAGTTCCCAACGGCGGGTGTTGCGGGCATGCCGGGTCAACTGGTTGTCTGGTTTCAACTTTTCATCGTCACCACTCCGGTTTTGTATAATTCCTGAGAGAAGGTGCTCTGGCAATAACGGACCTAAAACAGAAACTCCTATGACCCGGACGCCCAGTTGTCCTGAACGCCCCCAGCCGTCATTCATAGTTAAATGAAGCCAGTCGGACCTGCAGACATCCTCAAGAGGACGGATACTGGAGTCGTGCTTTGAACCTCCTGGCTACGCTTGACACGATCGGGGCGGGCCGGTTATCATGGGGCTGCTTGAAGTTGAGACCGGATGGGGCGTTCAGTGTTCCGCAGTGAAAGCATGACAAATCGTAGCCAGAAGCAATCATGCATTTAGCCTTCTGCTGCAACTGCTGCTACTACTACTACTACGACGACGAAGACTACTAC